AGCGCAGATAGCCCTCGTGTAGCTTTGCGCGAAATTCAAGACAAACAAACAATCCTTCTTACAAGCAAAAGTAAAAAGATTATTTGTCTGGTTTGTTCTAAAATTCTTTAAGTCCAAACATTTAATAAAAACCCTAAAATTTCATCTGAGTAACTAAATCAGTTACATAAAATACAAAACAGAAAGAGCATATAATTTCCTAAAGTCGAACCAATTTTATCATTCGCCAAAGGATAAGAATAATAATAATAATAATAAGTAAAGCGATAGCAGAACCAATCGTAGAAACCTGAAAATGTTTAGAACTTTTAACACACCACTTTTGTGGTTTGACTGATTTTTCTGGGTCAGCGATTGTATTATGTTGGAGAAACGTAATGTGAATCGTCTAAACTCACGCTGAATGATGATAGCTCTTATTCTGACTACAATTATTTCAGAGCATAGGGTGGGGAATAATCTAGTTAAGAAGACACAGTAGATATTACACACAATTATCTGCTGCATGATGATATATTAGTGACAGAACAATAAATTTAAAAGACATTTGAATCATCTATATCGTGTAACAAATAACTCTTTGTAAGCATGTATCCATTAGTAACGTGGTAATCTTCATTTTACTCAGCTCGAAGCCGGGACTTCTTTCGCACGAGCGCTGCTGTGTCAATAAGTAGCCAATAGTAATTACTAGTAATGTTCTTTTTAACAATTCAAACTCTCACAGTTGGTGACCCCATCCCATGCCCTTGAAAATGTTTTAAGATCAGAGTAAGATATAACATTGAAGATGATAATTTCGTAATATTTCTTCTAGTCATCCTGGAGCTTCATCCTTAAGACAGACAAGTGGTCAAACCAGACTGATTGCTTTACTTCATTCACGTGAATGGGGTAGGAGGGGTGCGCGACCTTTCAATATATTCTAAGTCACGACTGGAAGGTTGTGTTTGATGCCTATTGAGACCAACTGTAGTAAGAAGTTAGACATGTGGTAAAAAAAAACGCGATTTATTAACATGTTTTATTTCGAAGAAGATAATTCATATTCTCTCGTTTTAAAAAGTCGTAAAGTGAAAAAACGATCCTCTTATATAAATAAGAAGGAAAAGTCCAATCTACATACACTAATAATAGAGTATAAATAGTCTGGAAATTATTCTAACTGGCTACCACCATAGTTGACATACACGTCACAGAAGTCATCACTAATACAAATAGACTCGCCAAGGGCTGACCATAGGGTTAAAGAGAACCCATTATTTACGATGTTTCTATTATAGTATATTTCACAGATACTTATTTGATACTACCCTCTAGTTAATAGTTTGGTATGTATGAAAATAAAACATATTATCAATATTTTAAGCGTATCACCACAAACTGCTAATATTTTAAATATATAACGTTAAACAATCTCTGCGTTAAATTTAAATCCACCTTTAACCCCTAT